CCCGGCCCGCGGCGGCTCCGCGCTGCCTCGTCACGGGGACACCCGGGGCCGGGAGAGGGGGCGAACGCGAACCGCCACACTCCGCCCCCTGTCCCGATGCCCCGCCCCGTTGGGTCCGCCCCCCCGGAGCCCCGCCCCACCCTAGACTCCGCCCCTTGCGGCGAGGCTTAACTTTAGTCAACAGAGCCCGGCCCCTCTGGGGAGACCACGCCCCTTCCCTCACCCCTCCCCAGACTCTGGGAAGCTCCGCCCACCACTCTGTCTCAGGAACTCCCTAGCCAGTCTTCGCTGGTTCGGGGACTCTCCGGTGTCTTTGAGCCTCATCCCCCGGTTCAGGCTCCCAGACCCAGCCCTCATTTCTGGGGACTTCCGGGTTCTCCCAGAGACAGGGGCGCCCCCTCTCTCACTGCAAGCCGGAGCCTTCGCACTGGGCGTGAGGCCCCTTTCCCCACCTTTGGCTGGGACTCTCCACCTCCAGGCTGAGACCCCGCCTCCCAAATGGGAACCCGCGGAATTAGAGGAGAGAAGAGGGGGCTGGAAAGAGAGAAGGAAAATACTAGAGGAATCGGAGGAGGGGGGTGTCCGTTAGCAGGGAGGCCGAGGAAAATGCTGCAATTGACTCGACTCACAGACCTGTCTTCAGCCTAGCTCGGCCACTTTCTCGCTGGGTGACCTCTGGACGGCTCTGGGCCCCGGGGTGTCCGGGAACACCTCCCTCCTTCCCTCTAGCACACACACACTACCTGAGAAGCCACAAAGGGGATGGAGACCTTTGGGAGCACGCAGCTCCTTCTGGGCCTGGGCTTGCAAGAGATCTATCAGTCTATGCCAGGTGCCATGCCCTGTGCTTTGAGCAAAATAAGGCCTTTAATTTCTGGGAGGCAGGCACGATAATCCCCCATTTTACAGATGAGAAAACAGATTTGTACAAACCTAACTTGGATGTGGTTATCTTGCTAGAAAGGGACCAAGGGCAGATCTCAGCTGTGTGACTCCAATATCTGGACTCCTAACTTCTATACCTTGTTATGATGAAGAATGGCAGGATGGGGATCAGAGGTGCAGAGCAGGAGAGACCCAGAAATGTATCAGATAAGATCCCTACAGCACATTATTTCTCAGTATGTTTGGAACCATAACCAAGGGCTGGGGGAAGACCAGAGGATAGACCCTTAAACTGGGTCTTTGGAGTATTTATTGAGGAAATCAAGGAAGGTTGTACAGAGGAGGTGTCCTTTGGCCCCAGTCATGAAGGAGAAGTGAAAGTTTGCCCATACATTCCTGAGAGAGAGCATCCTTCCTCTTCTCCCCCCCCCATCTTGTTGCTTGTGAAGCTCCCTGTCTCCTAGATCCCCCTGGGCCCCACCACATCCACACACCCCACTAACTCCCCCACCTAAAAATAGTCCATGATACCAACTGCTTTGCCAACTGTTTGGGGGCCCCAGCAGCCAGATGAAACAAGAAGGCAGTTAACAGCACGTCCTTTAGGGACAAAGGCACTCATTAAACAAAGAGAGGCTCCCTGAGAGGCCACCACTGAGAAGGCTGGACTGCTGGGCTGTCAGCGGCAGATCATACAAATCCTACACCACAGGAGAGCTCCCATCCCTGAATGCCTGCTGTGTGCCCACCTCCATGCCAGGTACGCACAGCCACCATGGGACATGGGGACAGTGGGACAGTCTCACTCCCCTTTGCATTCCCAGCTTCCAGCACATTGCCTGCCAGAGCAGGCCCTCAGTGAACATGTGCTCAATAACTATTAGAATCTCCAGTTTACAGATGAGGAAACTGAGGCTCGGGGAATGGGGGAAGAGATATTTGCCCCAGGTCACACAGTGATGCAAGCACGTAGCTGAGGATTGATCAGAGCCCCAGTGCTACCGTCTGACACCAGAGTGCAGGGAGGAAGGATTGAGAGAGATTCCAGGGTACTGCAGGAGACAGAGATTTCTCCTGTGGTATAGTGCACGGGGACCAGAGCTGCATGATGAGCACGGCCAGACCACAAGGGGCCTCCTGAAGCCTGGGGTGAGCCTGGTCCCAGCATTGTCCAGGTGGGGGAGAGGAAGGGAGAGTTGGGACACCATCAACAGACACAAGTGCCCAAGTTCCAGCCTTGACTTCTGGCTCTGTCTCAAGAACTCCAGCTTCTCAATCTCTCTAGACCTCATGTTCCTTATTTATAAAATGGGAATAATAAGGGGCGCCCGGGTGGCTCAGTCAGTTAAGTGTCTGCCTTCGGCTAGGGTCATGATCTCAGGGTCCTGGGATGGAGTCCCCATCAGGCTCTCTGCTCAGCGGGGAGCCTGCTTCTCCCTCTCCCTCTACTTCCTTGTTCCTGGTCTCTCTCTATCTATCTCGAATAAATATATAAAATCTTAAAAAAAAATGGGAATAATAATAATACTGCCTACCTATCATGGGATAAAAATTTGCAGTATTGTTCTGAAATCCCTTTGTTCAACCCCTGCCTTCTCTCTCTTCAATCTAGATCTTGCAAAAAAAAAAGGGGGGGGGCAACAAAGAAAGGAACAAGATACAACCTTTATTTCTTCAATTCTTGGGTTCAAGTGTCTGAAGACAAGTGGCTGGCATAAACAGTTTGGAAGAAGATTTGTGTATCTATTTCAGAAAAGATGTTGAAGGAAAAACAACAAGGAACTCTCTGGGCTAAGAGATTTGGAGAGAAGCAGGAAGGGCTAAGATGCTGAGTTCTGCCTTTGAGGCCCTTGTAAGTGGGAATGGGGGCTGGGAAAAGATTGAACCCTCAGGTAGATTTGGGGATCCAAACCCTATTCCTTTAAAGAGACCAAATTTGATTGGATCAGTTTATGGAGCAATTTATGTCCCAGGACATTGTTGAAAACAATAGAGGACTCAGCTAGCATTGAGTGGAGCTTAACAGCTAGGTGTGGCCAGGGAAAGAGTCAGTCAAGGAGAGCCCTGCCCAAACTACTGTCATCCCAGGGTGACTGTGGGCATATCCAAGGCTGCACTTCCTGAGGATCAACACAGAGGCTTTATATTTAGACTGGGAAGTGGGGGGAGGGCGGAGATAGACTTCACTAAAATAACCCAGCCAGTCACTAATCAGACAAATGACAGTAACAAGCCTCAGAGGGGGTAGACTAGTACTGAGTTGCTACAATATATTAATTAAAATCGTCAATTTCCCACAACAAAAAAATATAATTCAAGCAACGAAACAGGAAAGGATGACCCATAGACTGGGATAAAAGCAGGCAGGCATTGTCCGGATGTGGGGAGTTTGGCATCCTCACACACTGCTCAGGGGAATGTAAAATGGTGCAGCCGCTTAGGAACAGTGCCTCATGCAGTTAAACATAGAGTTACCACATGAGCCAGCAATTCCACTCCTAGGTGTATACCAAGAGAAATGCAATGTTAGAAATAAAGAAAGTCAAAGAAGTCAATAGCGCAAAAATCAGGAAGGTGGTCATTAATTGTGAAGAGCTAGTGTGGGGAAAGCATCAGGGTGCTGTCCGTGGTGCTGTTCAGTTTCTTGACTGAGTGGTACTCACCTGGGTACTTGTTTTATAATAGTCAACTGTACATTTATATTGTGTAGGCTATTTGTTTGTTTATGATATTTTAAAATAGAAGTGTTTAAAATAAGATGAGCTGGTTCAACCAAAGCCTTACACTCTGCAATTTGAACAGGCAAGGACTTGTTCCAGCTGAAACTACAGGGGCTTTCTTTTTCTTTTCTTTTCTTTCTTTTTTTTTTTGCCCATGAGCATTAGTAAGAAAGACATTTTTATTATGGTCCAATGCACACACAGGCACACAAGGGAAACACCAGTGTGACAAGACAATACATATCTTTACTCCTTGTGATGTACTTGGCTATTTTCTATTCTGTTCCATTCTATGTTGTTAAAAATGACAGTTGAACTCAAAAAATCAATGTAATAACCGACTGATAGGCCCCAATGCTAGTTTTTAAAAAGTCTTGTCTGAGATCAAGGTGTCAGCAGGTCTGGTTTCTTTTGAGGATTCTCTTCTTGGCTTGCAGATGGCCACCTTCTTGCTGTGTCCTCATGTGGTCTTTCCTCGGTGCATGTCTGTGTCCTGATATCCTCTTATAAGGACATCAGTCAGATTGTTAAGACCCAACCTAATCACCTCATTTTAACTCACTTACCTCTTTGTTTTATTTTATTTTATTTTAAAGATTTTATTTATTTATCTGAGAGAAAGAGTGCTCAAGAGAGAGAGCACAAGCATGGGAAGGGGTAGATAAAGTGGGAGAAGCAGAGTCCCTGCTGAGTAGGGATGGGGGCTCAATCCCAGGACACCAGGATCAAGAACTGAGCCCAAGGCAGACACTTAACTGACTGAGCCACCAGGTGCCCCTCACTTACCTCTTTA